TTGATTTTCCCATGATGCAGTGTGGGTTTTAATTTACTCAGTCAGTCAATGCTAACCCACTCACGCACCTACTCATTCATTGAACATTTGTTCCACGCATACTTGATAGAAAATCCTGTTTAGACCCTGTGCTTGGTTCAATTTCATCTTATTGCATTATCCCATTCAAAATATCTAGGTTTGTTTAGCATTCATTTTCAAATTGATGCTATTTGCATTTTAATTGGAGTGGGGATGGGAGGCAATGTGAATTTATTGATCCCCTACTTCATGCTAGGGGCTTACCTTACTTCTGTAACCCTCCTGAAGTCATTGGATGGAATATCACGGATGGAAATGACCAGGAGGAGCACGGATCAGAAGTTGTTGGCTTAAAAATTCATTTTGTGCTTTTTTTTTTTCTGGGGAAAACACGTTTAGTTATTTTATGGGATTGTTGCCAAATTGTTTATTATTACTTTTAAAAAGTGTTACGCATTCTGCCAGCCAAAATTTACCATCAAATAAAATCTTTTACATCAAAGTAGACAGGAGATATTTTATAAGTACCATATATGTTTTGTATTGCTTTTATATTTGTCATGAGATAACAAGTTTTCAGTATTTTTAGAATATTTAGGGGGGGACTCTTCTATAGACTAAACAGAATTTACTAGAAATCTTGAAGAGTAAAGCAGGATCTCAAATTATTTCTACCTTCTAAAATTTTAACTTATTTTATTTTGGTTCCAGGTCACTTTATAAACACTTGAACTATAGGCATTTCAGCATAATGACAATACGGCTGTTATTCTGCATCATTTTTAACCATCAGGATTTGTCTAGTTTAACCGCAAGTAGAGGTAGTCAGCATCAAAATCATTTGTCCTTCAGGAATATGCTTGTGGTGTCCGTTCTTTTTTGGGAGTAATGATCCTCCTATGCTTTCAAGTAGAGGTTTTGTTGTTGTTGTTTTAAATAATTATCAGGAATCCCTGACAAGCTAAAAAATGCTCTTGAGAATCAGTGGGTGTTGCCAATAATGCCAAATCCATCTACTTGGATACTAAGCCATGTGGCTTAAAGAAAAAGATTTTAAAAACAAATATAAAAGTAAAATGGCAGTGCCTGTTGCATCTAACTCTTTGAAGGAAATATATAAACAATCTTCGACTGACAGATGTTCCTCTGTACCCGTGATTTCATTTATATGTGGGGCAGCAGAGGCAGGCTGTAGCTAACTTGAGACCATGAACAGCAGCTGAGCCGACACATCACCCTGGAGCGTGGTAGAGGTTGTAGAACCTCTTTCCAGGAGTGTTTTTTGTGTAGCGTAGTTTCCTCATGACCAAGTGTTGGCAGGTAGTGAGCATCTCAAATGTTTATTTCAACTTGGCATAGAATTTTCCTTCTTGTTCTGAATAGTATTGATATGAAGTCTGACTAAATACCTTCCCAAGTTTTAAAATTACACCCTGTAACACATTTTTTTCCCATTTCTACCAACACTCCAAAACGTGAGTTTATTTCTGCCAAGAAAGGACCTCAAGATCATCAGCCATTAATATTTGTAACATTAAGCCTTTATGCTCTTTTTTTTCCCTTCTCCAATATTATCTCTGTATTTTCCAAAGGAAGATGACATCTTTTTGACTAAGGTACCCCCTAACTCTAACTAAAGAACTGTTTTCCCCATTTTTCTCCTATTTTTGAAACATGCACTGCTACTGCCAGCAGAACCTTTTCTCAGTAGTGTAAGCTCTGTCCTTGACAAGACAGGTAACGGATAAATGAAGGAGGCCAGCAGGCAGTTTTTGTCTCTATCTAGACCAGTTATTATTGTTGTTGTTAGGTGCCATCAAATCTATTTCAACTCATAGCAACCCCACGTGACAAAGAACTGCCCCATAAGGTTTTGTAGGCAGTAGTCTTTACAGAAGATGCCCTGGTTAAGTGCTTGGCTGTTACCGAAAGGTCAGATCTGCGGGAGATAAGACCTGGTGATCTGCTCCCATAAAGATTACGGTTTAGGAAACCCTATGGGGCAGTTCTACTCTGTCATATAGGGTTGCTGTGAGACAAAATCGACTCTAGGGCACACAGCAACAACAATCCTTATGGAGCTCTTTTACCTGCAGAGCAGCTGGGTGGGTTCACACCATCAGCCTTTCAGTTAGCAGCCGAGCACTTAATCATTCACCACCAGGGCTCCTTACCTAGACTTGAAGGACAGCAAGTTAGCGCTTGTTACCCTGTTCAGGTGCAAGTTATTTCCCTCCCTCCTTATTTTGAGTATTTCTTTCCCCTAGCTGTACGCACTAAGTGCACTTCCAATTTTGCATAACCAAGGACCTAGAACATCCTGGTTTTTCTTTACAAACCCCTGCTGAGAATTTGCATTTCCACCACAGATATACTGAATCAGAATCTACAGTTTAACGAGATCCCCAGGTGATTCTTATGTATAACTTCCTGTGAACTTCTGAGAAATGCAAATCCTCAGCTGACAGCTTGTTAGAAATGCACATTCATAGCAGAGGTTTGCAGTGGAATGATCCAGTTCAAAGCCCTGTCATAATTTTCCTCATCTTGCTAACTGCCATGCTTTTGTTTACCAATGTTTTTGATAAATTAAATTTTTATTCTTAAGAGATCCTGCCCCTGCCCCCGCCACCTTTTAAAAAGTATTTATAAACTGAGCATTTTAGAAGAATCATTTCTTTTCCTGGTCCTTTAGTTTTGCTGTATTCGATAACCGTCTGTTATTCAGACATCAGGGGAAGTAACCAAAAACTAATGCCATGTTGGTGACCTGCATCCATACCTCCCTCAGAAGCCAACCACTCCTCCCCTTTTCTCCCTGCTAACAGATACCAATTCACCATTTTTAAAGAATGTTCACTGATACCATGCAAATACACATTGTAGGGATTATGTGTGGATCAAGTGTAAAAGGTCGTTTCTTCTGATATATTTGGAAGAAAAATAGAACAGTTTTCCACCGCAATGTGGAAGGTGTGCTTTGAGGATCTGGATCTCAAATTTTTCTTTTGTGTTAGTGAGAGTAGATGAGATAAAGATAGAGTATATTAGTTTCCTAAGGCTGCCATAAAAAATTATCACAAACTGAGTGGCTTAATTTTTTCTCTCATAGTTCTGGAGGCTGGAAGTCCAAAGTCAGAGTGTCAGCAGGACCATGCTCTCTGTGGAGGCTTGGGGAGAATCCTTCCTTGCCTCTTCCGGCTTCTAGAGCTCCACCTCCATGTGTTCCTTAGCTTGTGGCAGCAGAACTCAATTGCTGCCTCCATCCTCACATGGCCATCTTTGTCTCAAATCTCTCCCTCCTTTCTCTTGTAAGGACACTGGTCATTGGAGTTAGGGCCCACACTAAATCCAGGATTATGTCACCTAAAGTTCCTTAATTTATTCACATCTCCAAAAACCCTTTTCCAAAATAATGTTACATTCATAGGTTCTGGGTGGACATATCTTGGGCGAGGGCGGGGAGGCACCATTCAACCCCCTACAGGTAGTGAGTTCAGTTGAAAGGGTCCCAGATTTCGGTGAGACAGCTACCATGTAGGTCTGCAATGGAGACGGTTCTGCCCAGCAATTCATTGTTGATTTTATTCTGAGTTTAATTCTATCACCAATTTAACTTCCTAAACCCAAAAATCTGTTTCCCAACAGTCTTAGCTACTCCCAAGCAGTGTCTAAGCATGAGTTTGAGATTAGCTACCACAGTGTGCCCTTGTCAGTTTTTCCCAAGGCACTGCATTGATGTCTAACAACAAAAGGCGAAGCTGGTCTTTTGCATATGAACGAAGTTTTAAAACTGAAGCATGATTTTTTCTTTCTAACTGTGATTTAAACTTCCTTCCTGGTCATGTCTCAGCAAGGTTCATTCTGTTTCAATTCATTAATATTTATATAAACCAAAACCAGTTGCCATTGAGTCAGTTCCGACTCATGGCAGCCCCATGTGTGCATAGTAGAGTTGTGCTCCATAGAATTTTCAATGGTTGTGACCTTTCGGAAGCACATCACCTGGGCTTTCTTCCAATGCTCCTCCGGGTAGGTTTGAACCACCAGTCTTTTGGTTGGTAGCCAAGCACACTGACCCTTCATACCACCCAGGAACTCCCAATATTGTGGTTAGGAGCCCAGGCTCGAATCTACCAGCAGCTCCTCGGAAACCCTATGGGCAGTTCTGGTCTGTCCTATAGGGTCGCAATTCAACTCGACGGAATGGGTTTGCTTTTTTTAATTTTTGAAATGTTATAAATACTTCTTTTGAAACAAATCCAGGCGTCTGTTGACCTGTAGATTCCTTTGCCTTTTTTTCACTGCCTCATATCCCTCCCTTTAAAAAGGAGTGTAATAAGAATGAGACTATTTCCTTAAATTAATTAATTTCCTATAGCTTCTCTTAAGTATCTAGTCTAGAAAGCACCCTGTTAGGATAGCTTTTATATTTTCAGGAAGAATATACAGCCTATGAGATACTGAGTGTTTGAAAATAATTCATAAGTAAATCCAGTGTATGGAAATCAGCTTTCTATTTTTATAACATCTGTGTCCTCATGGTTTATTACATGCACTCAGAGTCAAGCGCCCAGGATTCTTCTAGGAGCTGCTGAGTGAGAGTGTGGAATTTGGGCAAAACTCTAAAACAAGGCCTCTCTCCCACTGCATCTCGTCAGTTGTCGTATCAGTTTGCATTATTATGTCTTTGTAGAATCTAAGCATATTTTAATTGTGTTAATATGCAGTTATAAACTAACAAGAGATGATTGGCATTTGCCTAAAAAAGTGATTTTGTAAAGACTTCATTGATCTGGAAGTAAAGTTTAGTTGCATGTGGATTAAGCTGTGGGGGTTGAGTTTTTTTTTTTTTTTTAAGTATAATTTTAAAAAAACATAGAAGTATTCTCTGGTTACCTGTGGAAGCCTGGATAATCTTCTTGCTGAGACTGAGAAATCTAATTCTCTAGTACTTAATTTATGTGGCTTTTTTTTAGGTACCAAAGGAAGAAATAAAGGAGAATTTACGAATCTTCAGGGGGTAGCTGCATCTGCAAGTGGAAAGATATTAATTGCAGACAGTAACAACCAATGTGTGCAGGTAGGGCACCTAACTGTATACCTTTAACCAATTTTATTGATAAAATAGACACGGGTGCATATTTTCCTACTTAGGACCTAAGACACACAACACAGGGAAAGAAAGAGAAACTTATAATGTGTATATAGGCTTTTCTTCAAATAGGGTTTGCATGTTCTGTCTTGTAGTACATATGACAAATGTTCTTGCTTATTCCTTCCTCAGCATTCTCTGTACTAGTCCACATCTAATGAATGTAATTTGTTTTCCAGATATTTTCCAATGATGGCCAGTTCAAAAGTCGTTTTGGCATACGAGGACGCTCTCCTGGGCAGCTGCAGCGGCCCACAGGAGTAGCTGTGCATCCCAGTGGGGACATAATCATTGCAGACTACGATAACAAATGGGTCAGCATTTTCTCTTCAGATGGGAAGTTTAAGGTAAGATTAACTACCAGTTGGCTACTAAGTGGTAGATAAAAGGAATAAGAAGTACAAGATGAATTTATCTTTTTCTTTTTTGAGAGCCAATAAAGTATTCAATAATTCTTCATACACAAAGCATCTTGACTTTACTTTATGAAGTCAGAGTGATGATATTGTCACTAATTTTTGTCATTAATTGTCATTAATCCACTCATATATATCCTAGATGTGGCTCCATTTTATAAAGTAAGTTAATTAGGTTGCTTAATGGCTTTTTTTAGCCATGAGATTTATAGGGAAACTTCCTGTTTCCTCAGTTTAGTAATTCAGAAACAACAACCTTTAGAAAGGAGTTATGAAAAGGCAATGTAAATATCTCAAATTAATCTATAGGCAGTCATTTATGAAGCACGTTGTCTGATAAAAACAGAATTGTAAGACACGATTCCCACTTTTTAAAAATTTACAAGCCAATTAAGGAGAAAAGGCTAATACACCCAAAAAAAAAAACAAAACGATTCACATCAGCCTTCCATCAGTTATAAATTGTTTGGTTCAACCTAAAAACACAACATTACAGTACATCATATGACAGTTAGAAGGAAGAGAAAATGGGGGCTGGCTTTATGGAGAAGTTGCAGGTTGAGCTACACTTTGAGGGATCCCATCATTTGACTTATTTACCGTCACTCCTAGCGTCATCTTCATGGAAAGGTCAAAATAGCTTCTATGTCTTCAGCAAGCCACCAAAGAATAGAGAGCTGTTTGGTGATAACAGAAATCTCTCTTTAAGGTGGCATCAAAGAATATTATCATCTAGCCCATTTTCTCCATTTGTTCACAGGAAGATTAGGAGACACCTTGGAAAATGTCTTTTTTATTTTTTATTTTTGGTGAAAATATACACAACAAAATAGACACCACTTCAGCAATTTCTACATGCCCAATTCATTGACATTGGTTACATTCTTCAGGATGTGCCACCTTTCTCAACAACCTTTTCAAAACAATTTTACCATCATTAACACAAACTCACTGGCCCCCTAAGCTTCTCATCTATTGGGAAAGGTCTTTTAGAAGGCCATATGCACTGCACCTTCCATGTCCCTCCTTTGCTAGCCTAACGTTGGTAATTGTTAGGTGACATGGAGTCGATTCCCACTCATAGCGACCCTACAGGACAGAATAGAGCTGCCCCATAGGATTTCCAAGGAGCGGCTGGTGGATTCGAACTGCTGACATTTCGGTTAGCAGCTGAGCTCTTAACCACTACGCCACCAAGGCTCCAATTATGGAGGCCTCTATTTCCGTTGACAACATAAACTTTGACTCAGACAGATCAGGGATTCCAGCTCTGTGGCTTATATTAGTTGTTTGGCCTTCAGCAAATTACATAACTTCTTAAGCCTCAGTAGCTTCATATTAAAGTTTGGATTAAAAAAAAAATTACCTCATAGGATTTGGGTAAGGATTAAATGAGATTTTATTTCTGGATTTTACGTATGCCTAGTGTGGAATAGGCATCTAATAAAATGCCCTTTTCCATGCCTCCAGTAACCCTGTCAAAAATATGAAGTCTGGTGATAAACTATGATATGATTTATGACCCCACATAGTCATCACTTTTCTAAATGTTCGGAGATAATGCTTTTTGTAATCCATCCCGGCATCCTGCAGGTTACACAAAGTTCACTCATTAGTGTCTTGTTGGAGGAATTTATATTTTCCTTTTTAAAGTCTTTGGGTTACTGTAATCACCATATCATCTTTATGAAAAGGGGTTACTTACATAATCGTTAAGAACTCTCAGAGCTTCTTGTTTTGTGTGGGGTAACATGTTGTTAATCTAGGAGAACGAAAAGCTGTCATTTTTAATTCTACAGTATTGTACACAGCTTTTCAGTTAACTGAATTTTTTGTTCCACTAGAAACTTGATGGCCCCATGTGATGGCCATCTATGCAGAAAGGAGCTCTTGCTTCTCTGTATCTCTAACTTCCTCCCCTTCTTTTTTGTTTTGTGTGTGTGTGTATGTGTGTGTTTTTCATTGTGCTTTAAGTGAAAGTTTACAGTTCAAGTCAATCTTTCATTCAAAAATTTACACACATGTTGCTATATGACCCTAGTTGCTCTCCCTATAATGTTACAGCGCACTCCTCCTTTCCACCCCGTATTTCCTGTGTCCGTTCAACCAGCTCCTGACCCTCTCTGCCTTCTCATCTCGCCTCCAGACAGGAGCTGCCTATTTAATCTCATGTATCTACTTAAGCTAAGAAACACACTCTTCACAAGTATCATTTTATGTCCCATAGTCCAGTCTAATCTTTGTCTAAAGAGTTGGCCTTGGGAATGGTTTTAGTTTTGGGCTAACGGAGAGTCCAGGGGCCGTGTCTTCCGGGGTCCCTCCAGTCTCAGTCAGACCATTAACTCTGGTCTTTTTACTAGAATTTGAGTTCTGCACACCACTTTTCTCTTGCTCCATCAGGGACTTTCTGTTGTATTCCCTGTCAGGGCGGTCACTGGTGGTAGCCAGGCACCATCTAGTTCTTCTGGTCTCAGGTTGATGGAGTCTCTGGTTTATGTGGCCCTTTCTGTCTCTTGGGCTAATATTTTCATTGTGTCTTTGGTGTTCTTCATTCTCCTTTGCTCCAGGTGGGTTGGGACCAATTGATGCATCTTAGATGGTCGCTCACTAGCTTTTAAGACCCCAGACGCCACTCACCAAAATGAGATGCAGAACATTTTCTTAATAAACTTTGTTATGCCAGTTGACCTCGATGTCCCCTGAAACCATGGTCTTTTGTGTTTTTATAACTGTATTTGTGGTAAGACATACCCAAATATGACAACTTTAACATAAATAGAATGAAAACTATTCAGTGACCTCTTGAAGATACTCATCTAGTTTGGAGACAACCCATTTGTTCTTGTTTCACACTCTAGCAAAATCATGACCTGTATCTTTTTAAATTCCAGAGCTAATACTAAAATGAGGAGCCCTGGTGGTGCAATGGTTAAAGCTCTTGGCTGCTAACCGAAAGGTTAGTGGTTCCAACCCATCAGCAGCTTCACAGGAGAAAAGACCTGACAATCTTCTCCTGTAAAGATTATAGCTTGGGAAACCCTATGGGGCAGTTCTACTCTGTCCTGTAGGATCACTATGAGTTGGAATTGACTCAGCGGAACACAACAGCAACAATAAAATAGGTTTCACATAATGAGATAGGAGTTTCATATCTAAAAGAGAAAAGTTTCCTGAGCTGTTTCTTATCCAACAGTTTAATATTCCACATATAACAGATACTCCTCTTGGAAGAGCTGGATGCTTGGAGTTGGAATACTAGAGGATAATATTGGAATGAATACTAAAGAACACTCACACCTCCTAGACGATAGAGGGAATAGACAGAGTTTCAACTCTATTTTTTACCATAGGTTTTAATCAAAACCCAAAGGGTAAAAGGATAACAAGTAAAAACATATTAATACTATAATGTAAATTCTTTCAGTGTCATGCTTACAACTATATACTGAGAGATACTTTTTTTCTTCTTTTACTTCTTCAGTGGGACTCAGTAAAATTTTACAGGTCTTCAGAAAGACGTACGTTTAACACAAATGTGGATTCCTTGTATTAATAGATTATCAGAGCGAGACCTATTTTTTTCAATGGTATGCTCAATTAGGAAGTAATATGTGGAACTGTGTGGCAGAAAAAAAATGATGGTGGAAACTCTGATACGTAAGATAATTGAGTTTGCTTCGTATTCTTATTCTGTGAAAACCACCTTCAGAAAAGTTTTTGAAGCAGGAGAATTTCATTCCATTTCTCTCTTTTGGAATTCTCATTCCTTCCTAATAACTTTATTTTTCTTTATGAGGATTGATAGTTAGAATATTCCAGAAGGACACTGGGGAAAAATCTGCTAACTATACATCTAAAGCAACCCCAAGTGCTATGTCCAGACATGGACTCTGTAGAGCCTCATTTTATCTTTCTTTCTGCCTTGATTTTTTAAATCAGAAGAATATTTAGAATGTGTAAGATATACATAGTTTGTGCCTTTTAAAAACAAGTTAGAGAAGACATTTCAGCCCTGTGAGGAATCTTGTTTAGTTTTTGGAAAAAAAAAAAAAAACCTCCATAGAGTGGCTGCAGAAGGAGCCCTGGTGGTGCAATGGTTAAGAGCTTGGCTGGTAACCAAAAGGTTGGAGGTTCAAAGCCATCAGTGCATCTCTGGGAGAAAAGACCTGGCAATCTGCTTCCGTAAAGATTTCAGCCTAGGAGATCTATGGGGCAGTTTTACTCTGTTGTATAGGGTTGCTGTAAGTGGAAATCGACTCACTGCACATGACAAGAAGAGTGGCTGCAACAAGGGGCTTTGATAGAGCATAACAAAATAGAAGAAGACTGCTGTAGAAGAGTGGTCAGCAGTGGCCTGTCTAAGGAGAGGAGAATTTGGCTATTTGAAGACCTAGGAGTGGGGAGAGCACGCATACTAGGGATCAGCAATGCAAAGGCTGTGGAGCAGTAGGATCAGGTTGGTGTGGAGAAGGAGCAGAAAGAAGGCGGAGTCTGGAGTGGTAGATGAGGCTGGCTAGGGAAGACGATCCAACGAACAAGGCCCCCACCCCATTCCAAGCCTTGACCGGGAGTTTGACTAATTTATAGTAAAACAGGAAGTCAAGGGGTTTTAAGCAGAATAAGGAGAGTATACGTGTCAGTATTAACATTTTTTTTTGTGTGTGCTTTAAGTGAAGGTTTACAGAACAAATAGTTTCTCGTTACACAGTCAGTACATATTGTTTTATGACATTGGTTAAGAACTCCACAACGTGTCAACATTCTCCCTTCTTGACCTTGGAGGACCTTTTTCTTTTTTGGTGAAAATATACATAGCCAAAGATACACCATTTCAAAAATTTCTGCATGTACAATTCAGTGACATCGATTACATTCTTCCAGTTGTGCTGCTATTCTCACTGTCCTTTTCCCAATTATCCCATCACCATTAT